CATGCACACACACACACACACACACAATTCCAAGGGGCTGTATCACACGTGTGTAGACAACAGATGCTAAAATGCTGCATATGCAGTCACACTGGCAACAGTATTCTGTGGCCTCCGCTGATTTGTCATAAGGTCAGGAAGGCCTCTCCTCAGACGACAGCTCCCCCTCCCCCTTGCCTGTGCTCTGACTGTCCTGGTTCTCGCTTTCCCAGCAGGCACCCCACACTTACCTCCTTCAGTTAGCTCTGCAGCGGACGCAGTCCTCTTTGGAAACTTGGCCTTCACAGTGTTCGACCTGAGCTAAAGGACATTTCAGGGATGCTTCCCGGGGGGAAGCACACTGACCGTGGACTGGAGGGTAGGAACACCCCCCCTGGGGCCTCCCCATCCCCAGCGGGCGACCTCACCCTTCCAAAAAGCCACCGGAGCACGTTTGAGAAAAGTTAAGCTGTTTTATTTCACAGGATAGCTCCACGTCAAACCAGCAGGCACCATCAGGATACGCGACAGAGGATCCAGTCAGACACTCTACACACGGGCGCTGGGTTGTAAGGTAGAGAAATGATGTCCGGGAGAGGGCAACACTTATCGCCACATGGGGACAGGCAACCAGCAATCTCCTAGGGTGGTTTCACTTTGATTTTCCTGACAGTTTGGGGAGGAAGGAAACCAAAGGAAATGAAATAGACCAGCCACTCTGAAGCAATCAGAACCAAACCTATTGCCAAACCGAGTAAACAGTCACACTGCCGGGGACTAGAGCCTGAGCAGAAACTCTGGCCAGAAGCTGCTTCCATTCGAGGAAAGCAAAACGCACTCTGGCTGTTCTGGTTCAAGGTTGTCAGTTTGCCTGTCGTTTGTCCTTTCACACAGAAAGGAGGTGTCGGCAAGGGGCAGTCCCAGAGGATGAGACGGCGGGACCCTGGCAGGTCAACCTCAGAGAGGCAAGGAGGACACAGACCTGGCAGCAGAGCCCCTGCCCTCAGCTTCCCCAGCAGCTTTAGGTATGTGCGGAATTCTCCACACGGCTGCTCAGAGGAGCGGGGACCCCAGAGAACCGGGGAAGTTGCCGTGAAACATCACCATTAGCTCTGCACAGCAGAAAATCATCTTAGCAACACCTCGGCTCACCCGCTTCCTGCCTTTTCCTCCAGGCCTCCCTCCATGAACCCAGCAGCCCCTAACCCCCATGGTTGTGAGCCAGCCGTCCTTCTTTCTGGCTTTCTCAGGAGGATGAGGCATTTGCTCTAGTATGAAAAGTTAGGGACAGAGAGACTGAGAGGAAGAACCATTCCATTAGGCCTCATAGTTTGCCATCAGCTGCGTACGTGCGCTGAGCGCCAGGTAATGACCAGGTCCCAGGAAGTCCTTTGCATCCGTGCCTCCTGAATGAGAAAGAAATCCCCCTGACAAGGCACTCCGAGGGCCTCCAACAGGGAAGCAAGCCCCACGCCAGGCCCTTCCCTGTGCTGGCCCCCTAGGGGTACCACCAGCCAGTTCTGGAGTGTTTGTTTATAAGGCAGATCGCTGAGCTCCTAGTTCCACCGGCAGCCGAGGGATGACTCCACTTCCCTGCATCTCTTCCCACTTGGATTTCTTCACGGAATAGGAACCTTTCGTCCCTCGGGAATCCTTTTCTCTCCTGCCCCTGGGCCCAGTGACCTCAGAGAAAAGACTCCCAAGTCTAATTCCCAAGCTGACAATTCCCTCCAGTTGTGCGCTCTGTCTGGGGTTCAAAAGGCGCTTCAAGGTGAGAAATCGTTAGCACTGAAAACAAGGAAAGGCAAGAATTTTTCACAGAATCCCACAGCTCAGAGCAGCTCTTTAAGAGGAAAGGGGACCAAAGGGAGAGAGTGAGAGAGGGGTAGGAAGCACGGCTCATTCTCCGTTTTATCCAAGAAAGGTCCTTAGCGGCCGGAGGCTGGGCCCCAGGCCCAGGAAACTAGACCAGGAATGAATTGTCTTTGGTCAGTTTTAAATGAACATCTTGCTGGTTCATTCCTAAAAGAGACTGAACACCAGTAACACATAAAGACAAAAGGCTTGACCTCAGGGTAAGTTGAAGGTTAAGAAACTGTTCTGTGAAAGAAAAAAAAAAAAAAAAAAAAAATTGCCCGTTATCAATGAACTGATCAGTACAGCTTTCGGTAATCGTGATGGACAAGCAGGTAAACACCACTTCCCCTTGTACCACTGGTTATACTGAGGACTACTAACTAGGTTACTACGTCTTCCCCCACGCTCACTGTACAGTTAGGTTTCTGGTACTTGTTTTTTACACTGATCTATCTACTAGGTGCAAAGATTTGGTGAGTGGCATTGGCTGTGATTTCATTGTAGCCTTTTTAAAAATTACAGTTTCACATTTTAACAGTTACTTTCCAGCATTTAAGCAAATACAGCAATATATAGTGGACTAACACAGGCAGGAGTCAGGACGAGAATGCCAATGCTCGTGACAGTGGGCGGGCCTGGATGCACGTGGAGGGGGCCTGAGACATGCAGGGCACCAGATGGGTGGGGCAGGGGGAAGCATTTTTCCACGTGGTTCTGCGTCAAGGCTCAGATTTGGAGCTGGATGAGTGGGGTGTGAGCTTCCCTAAATGTGAACTCACCAGCCATCTCCCAATGGAAGAATAGGTGCCTAAAGAAAACGGCAAAGGCTCTGCCCTCAGGTAATTCAGTGAAAGGCAGGCCTATTTTCAATAAGGAAAGATGAAGTTAGTCATTTCAGAGGAAAATCCACATGATCTGACTGGTGTTATGTATTTCAGGCAACAGATCTGTCAACTCAGATTTTCACTTTTCGTCTGGTAGTCATGGCAGAGGATGTGGCATTTTGCACAGGAAGCCACTGCATTTAAGGTCCTGCGAGTCTCTCTGGGGTGGAAATGAGAAGTCTCTTATCCCGCTGAACAGCACAGCATCCTTGCAAATAAATGACTTCAGGAGCTGGACCCAGCCCCACTCTCAGCCATCTATTAAATCTTGGACAAGTCACAGCCATCCTAAGGCCTTGCTTCCTCTCCTAACCTGTAATATGGGGCTATGTTTATGTGCTAAAAAGACAGCGGGCTCCTAGCTCGTTCTGAGGCTCTTTCATTTCCAGGAGTTATAGGCAAAACAAGGAAGGTCAAGTTTGTCACTGGCCTCTCCCTGGCATTCTTTCTGTGCCCTTTCTTATTCTTTCCTCCACTGTGTGCTCTCAAGGCCAGTGCTTCAGGCAAGGCAGCGTGGCTCACCACCCCTATACACCTAGGTAACGTGGCTTCATAGGTCCCCCCGTCTGGGGACCAGAGGAGAGGGCGAAACTTAATCCAATGGGCTGATATGGTAATGATGGAATGTCAAGAGGTGATGTACCTGCAGGACCGGGCTTCATGGCTCTTATGAAGCTGGTAGGAAAATTCCACTGCCCACTTCTCAAATGCCATTAGGAGGTTTCAAAAGGATGGCGCTGGATGGTTTTCACCTTAGTGATGACCGTGAAGAGAGCAATCGTGTTGGCACGATGCTTCCTAGGTTGCATGGCTTGCTCGCTTACATTTTTATAGAGCAGGAAACTGAGGTTCAGTGAGGTGAGTGACACGCCCCCCAAACCTAACCCCATATTTTCAATTGAGTTAAATGTGCTGGAGGAGGTGGGCAAAAGGGAAGGGAAAGGGGAGAGGGAAGCTTATTTCATTGCATAAAGTCCACCGAAGCGTTCTCTAGGATGGCAAGTGCCAAGGACTCCCTCCCCGGCCCTGGTCTGAGGTGGGCGCTTACGGCCCCGTGTGCTTCATGCAAGAGGCCACCAGCCAGAGCGCGTCACGGCCTGATTTCAAATTAAAATGATGGGACTCAAAGTCTCCTTGCCTGTTTAGTTCCAGATTTTGACACAGTATAATTAGTAGAAAGAGGAAAAGACAAAATTAAATATTTTGAAAATGGTATAAGTTAAACCTCTATAGTTACCACAGATTTATTCCTACAGCGTTTCTAGGTTTTAAAGTGTTCCACACCACTGTGTTTGGGTTTTTTTTTTCCTTTTTCCCAACCACACATAATACTGCGCTACGATGGGGCTCAGGCTCTCACCATCCCCTCTTCTACGGTCGAACACAGGCCGCTGCGGTCAGGGCTCTTCTCGCCAACGTCCTCCATGCCTTTGGGGTGCAGTTGGTCTTGGCCTCCATGTGGAAAGGCAGGGTCTCTGGGGTGGATGGGGGGGGTGCTCTGTGAAGGGTTCCCCACCTCTGGGAGCAGCCTGCCCGGGGTACCGCCTGCCCCACCCTTCCTTTAGGGGCAGACTGTTCTGGAAGGCCACAACTTCTGGAGACAGTGGGAGACTGGTTTTGTTTTTCTGCAGGTTAGTGGTATATTGCTTCATTCGCAGTTACTGTGGGCCTTAAATTCTCCCAGAAAAGTCCCTGCAAATCCCACCAAATAACTCAGCGGGAGATGTTTGGTGGCATGGGTCTGAGGTAAATCTAAGTTTCGTAAAAAGAAAAAGGAGATCCTATATACATTTCATATGTGTGTCCAGATCTAGTATATGTATATTGATGCATAAATATATATATATATATACACACACACTCCTACAGACACATACGTACATATATACGTGTACATAGGCACATACACATACATACACACGTATGGATGCATGTAGAGAGAATGTCGAGAGAATAACTTTCCAGTGACGATACGCGGGTGAAGCCATTTAACATTTGCCATGACCTTGGGAGAGGCTCCGGCTGGGGCGGCTGCTCCTCTCCGCTTGGCCATCTGTGTACACACGGGAGGGAGGCCTGTGGGTTCACGTGGCTAAAGGCAAGCTGTGGCTCGGGCCTGGGCCTCAGCTCCACACAGACCCGCTCCCAGGCTGACCTTCTGGGCCCTGCCCGACAAGGCCAGGAGCATCGGGAGGACGTGGGAGTCACAGAGGCCACCCTCGGCCACGGCGGGCCACGGCAGGCCACGGCGGGCCGGGGCGGTGCCCGCCACCCCGCAGGTCACATGGTGCCCGACTTGTCGGCCGAGCTGTTGGGGAACATCTTCTCGGTGGGCGTCACGGCCGGGCTGCCCACGCCCGAGCTGCTGCTGCTGCTGGACCGATGCTGGACCACGGGCCGCACCGGCCGCATGGGGGGCGGGCGCAGCTGGGCGCCGGCCAGGCGGGCGGACAGGGCTGGCTTGAAGGTGGTCATCATCTCGGTGGAGGAACTGCTGCTGCGACGCATGGCGGCGTCGGGGTCGCGGATTACGATGGTGTGCAGGGGGCTGGCCGGCTCTGAGCTGATGGGGCCTGGCGGGTTCTTCAGGGGCTCCAGGGTGTCCAGCACCACATCTGGCGCCTGCTTGACTGTGTTCTGCCTCTCCAGTTCCCGCAGCTCGTGCAGAGCTGTGCTCATGGTCTTCTCGATGTCCTGGGGACAGGGAGAGCGCTCGTCAGCACAGAGTCTGGAGGGCTGGGATCTAACCCTTCTGGGGCTGCTACCCAGCTTGTAGGCTTCTTAGGGAGGCTTCCCCACAAATCTCATGGAAGGGATGGAGAATGGATCCCAGGGAGTCTTATAACCGTAAGGAAAATCAGTGTGAGTATCACAGACCTAGTGGTGGCAGGCTCTGCAGTCAGACAGACCTGGGTTCAAATCCTATTTCTGTGACTTCCCTGCTGTGTGACTGTGGGCAAGCCACCTTACCTCTCTGAGTGTCAGAATCCTCATTTGTAGATTACAGACACGTATAATACTGACCTCAAGGGGTTGATGAGTGTATTTAATGATATGGTCCCTGTGAAGAGCATGGCATGGCACCTGGTACCTAGTGAGTATTTCCAAATAATGACAATAACAATGGCAATAACAGCTAATACCGAGCACCAATTCAAGCCCCTTCCCCTAACAATTCATTTAATCCTCTCACTTATCTGGTAGGAACTACCATTACGCTCACGTCACACATGAGGAAATGGAGCTCAGACAGGTTAAGTAACTTGTCCAGGGTCACACAGCTACTTAGCAGCATAGTAGTTCTGGCTGCAGCGTTCATGCCCCTAACTAGTATTATTAAAAAATATCTCTCTCCTTTGTCCATAGGAAATCTGTGTGGAGGTTGTATATCAGAATGTTTGCAATGCTCACCCCAGGATGGTAGGACTGTTACTTTCTTCTCTGTATTATAATCAGAAAAATTTTTTTAAAAATGGAAAATTTAAAAAGCAACAAAAATCTTCATCTGCCTACACAATTCCCAGGGATACTGTGATATTTAAGAGCTCATCAGCATGAGAGCGCTTTGAATGACACAGAGAGAGATTCTGGCAGCCCAGAGGGCCGACCTGGGGCTCAGCATTCCAGGAGTGGGCACTGGAGCTGGATGGCAGCATTTAACCCAGGAGCCTGGGGCCTGGATGCAGAGCCCAGGTTTGGGAGGGAAAAAGGCTCCTCTGCTACCCCTGCTGGGCAACCTCTGGCAAGTCTCAGTGGCTCCGCACCACACTCGGTCCAGGTGCTGAAAGCCCCCTGCTGGCCGTGAAGATGGGATGAGATGGTGGCCGTGATGACACTTTGTGAACTGCTGGATGGTGGTTTTCACACTCCCTTCAGCCAGAGTCCTCGGCTCCCGTGGGGTCTCCCAGGGATGCCTCCACACAGAGGCCGGGGGAGCTGCTCAGGCTGAGCTGGGCCACCGAGAGGACGGAACGGCTGCTGGAAGGTGCTGAGCCACCTCAGGCTCCGGGATGACTATTGAGACACACTAGCTTTTGTGCCCGGGGGCAGCTCTGGGAAAACTGAAAGTCTGGTCAGACTGATGGGGCTGGCGCCACGGTGCCCCGCGGCCCCTGCCCCGTCCACGCCTTCTTTCACCCCCTCTCCTCCCCTGTCCTCAGGCGGCTCCTGCCCGCTGGGCCGCCACGACAGGCTCCAGTCGGGCCTCCGTCAGGGTCCCAGCCTATCACCTTGTTTGGTGAAGAGACTACTGATGATTAGCTAATGACTAATATTAGCATTTATGCTTCCCCAGGACATTTTACCCTTTGCCCTTAACACTGTCTACTTTAAAGAAGATGCTGTTTGTGCCTTTATCTACAAGGAATAGCTGTGGGGCTGTGATGGGGGTCCCACCTGACAGGAGAGAAGGCAGTCCTGTCCCAACCTTTGCTACATCACAACCCTGCAGTGATCAAGCCCGCCTTCCGCGTCCCAGTCTGCTTAAAGTCCCCCACTGACATCACTACTCTGTCTGCTCTACTCCAGCAGGAGCCAAAAGGCAAAAGGAATAAATAAAATATAATTATCGCCCCTCCACCACCATCCCCACCACCACCACTCCACCCTCGCAGAGTGGGAGCCAGGAAGACAGCGAGCCCAGAGAAAGATCAGCTGGGGGGTTTAGGCGTGAGCCTTGCGTTAGTCTGAGAGGTGATGCCGTGATCTCAGAGTGGAGCTGCAGAGAGGCGCTGGGGAGCACGGACAGCGGGGGAACACGCTCCCTTTTCACCTCCTCCCGAACGAGACCTTCCCACCTTGGATGGGGGTGCTGCCAGATCCCCAAACTGCCTCTTTAACTGGGCTCCAATCTAAATCCTAAAAGACATTTTGAGACCAGAGGATTTCAGGTAACTCCACCTACTACTACATAGCTGCCCTCCGCAGCCTGCAATGTCAAGTGCTCATCAGAGCCAATGCTGAGCAGGCTGGAGGCCATCCAGGGTGCCCTTGGCTATTTACATGCCGTTTCCCATGCTCTGCTATCGAATGGCAGCTATCAAATTAGCGTGTGTAGATATGTCTGCAGACGGAAAATGCGAGCGGCACGCCCCACGTGTCTTCTTTAGGCCGCTCTTGCAAAATGCTCTGTGACTAAAGGTCAAAGAAGTCTGGGAGATGGGTGTGCCCTGCTCTCTTTCTTGAAGATTCACAATGCACATCAACATATTGAATAATTCTTGTTGCAGACAACCCATTCAAATTTGCCAGACCAGCATTCCCCAAACTTTCTTGACCATAGAACACCTTTTTCCCCCTCCATTAATACCCCATGGAACCAGTCTGCTGTGGGACCTACTTTGGAAACAGTGGCGTAAACTTCATTTGATTCTCCGTGTAAAGGGCTCTGGGCCAGGCCTCAGGTGGCCTGAGCTTCCAGGTGACGGCGGATGCTAGGGCAAGGCTTCCCAAGAGAATGGCCTCCAACAATGGAGGGACCAGCAGGCTGCCTGGCTGCTCTGCTGGACCCATGCCAAGATGCTGATACCTTGGGAGTGGGCATTGGGACCTGGGGCCAAACTAGATCCTGCGAGGTGTTTCACTTGCTGTGTTGATATCCCTGAGAACCTCTCCTGGCCTCCTCTAGAACACAGCCCCCAAGCTCTCAGCTTTCCCTTCCCCTTGTGAACAGGGATTCAAGGCCACTCTTCACAATACGATCCTAACCGACCCGAAGGTTCTAACTGTCTCTCTTTTCTAAACTGGGAGAAAACACTGGGAAGGGGTTACATAATGTGCACCCTGCCAAGTTCCAGAGGGGAAAATGGAAACTTCTGAACTACGATAAAACTATCAAAAACACAGGAAAGCAGCTATGCAAATTGTTACACAACTTAAACAAACTGTTTCTTAACAATTTCTTAAATGAATTTGTTTGGTTTGCTTGGCAAGTGTAAAAATCACACAGGTTTCTCATCCAAATTTTTAAGAAGTTATTTAAAAAAATACAAAACTCTAAAAGCGCTCTTGAAACGCAGAGTCCCCTCCTTCAAGACTCCTGACCCAGCTGCCATTTCACAGCTGTGTGTGTTACTGGTTGGCATCTCTTTCTTCTCTAAACCATAAGCTCCATGTGGTCAGGGCCTGGATCCATTTTAGGTCAATTATACTCTCAGTGCCAGCCAGTGATTGCCACACAACAGATGCTCAATCAGTATTTGTCAATAAATGAATGAATGAACAAATGAGTGAAATGAATGACAAGATGAACAAATGAAAACGTGACGAGCACGATCTTGCCACATTATGGAGGCGCGTCTGCCATTACCACATCCCCATAGCCGGGAATCCCACCTCTGGCCCTGGAGACTGGGCCCTTGGGTCTTCACAGGAGCCCCAGCCAGCAGTTGCACCCATCCAGCTTCCGCTCCCACAGGGGGGCCAGCTCATTATCTGCCTCACGTTCTGGCTCAGCCTGAGCCTGGCCTGAAGGGCGAAGGGGCTCCCCCGTCTGCAGGTGCCCACCCCCTGCCCCTCTGGGTGTCGGCTGGCGCAGCCTGCCCTCCCGCCGGCCCTTACTTCTGCCAGGGCCTCGGCCTCCAGGGACTTGTGGTCCCCCAGGCTGCTGTGCCTGGTGGAGCCGCACGTCGACCGGATGCAGTGCCCTTCGGAGAGCGCCTTCTTGTCGGGGTAGTTGATGCTGCCGGCGCTCCCGAACGTCGCCATCCTCCGCTTCTCGGGGCTCTCGATCCGCCCCCGGGAGAGGGGGATTTTGTGGGGACTGCTGGGGCAGGCGGCGGCCCGGGGTGGCGTGTCTATGCTGGGGCCCAGGCCCCGGGGCGGGCTGTGTGTGTCTCCCCCGCTTCGGCGTCTGGGGATGGCTGCTCCATCAGATCGTAACCGCACTCTGCAAAGGAGCCAGGGGGTGGGGGGGTGGGGCAGAGGTCAACCCTGGCCAGTGTCACACGGGTCAGCCAACCCCCAGGCCACACGCTACACACTAGTCTAGGGAGTGGGTATAGTAAAGCCTCGTTCAGCCAGACTCTGCGGTTCTGCAGGGAAGGCACTGTCTGAGCACATGACTCAGGCCCGTGGGTTTCATCTGCACACACGAAGGAGTCGGGGGCGTTCCAAGCTCCAGCCGGGGGTGGTGCCAATTACATAGTGAATCTCGTCTACACGTTAGGTCAGGGCCAGGAGGATTTCAACCTGGGAACACTTCGCTCCCGGTTAGGTGGGCTCATGGTATGTTCTTAAGCGGTTTAGAGGTCTCCATGATTCCAAAGGGCCTCTGACTGGTCTGAGGCATTGAGGCTTGACTATACCAAAGAGTTACCAGCTCCCTGCAAGCTCCCTGAAAGATGGCCCTGGTTTCCGTGCGGCAGCACAGACAACAAGTCTGGTGAAAACAGCGTGGGCTGGGGCTCAGGACACTGGGTTCTAGGCTCAGGAGGCCCCCCCGGGAACTGACCACAGCCCAGTGTTGTCACCAAAGGCTGTTCCTATGAAGCTTTTCCAGACCTTGGACAACTAGTCATTAAGAGTAAAATGTGCATCACTGGAACGCCTTTCGTGCACTTGGATACCTTTCAGCCCTCAGGGAGGCTGTGGTGGAGTGAAAAGGGTGTCCATCAGGAAGGCGAATTCTTGTCCTGTCTCTGTCACAGACTTCCCAGTGACCTCTTTCAGACCTACTTTATTAATCGGTTAAATAGGCATAATATTCCTTGCCCACCTTCTGAGGGAGGTTCAGTGGGTGGGAAAGCACTTTGAAGAGGTTCTACCCACAGGAGATTTTCCTGTGTCTTATGGAGGGCACTGAAGACTCAAAGGCACTGGTGAGGGGAGGGAAGGCTGGAAGTGGCAAGGGGGCAGGGAAGAGGGGCAGAGTGCGGGAATGGATTGTGACGGGGACCAAGCTCAGTGTGGTCAGCAGCGCTTTAGACCCTGTGCCACCAGCCAAGCTAAGCACCGCCTGTGGGCAGCCCAACAGGACCAAAGCATTGGTGTTCGAGAGGAAGAGTACTGGGAAAGAAAGAACGAGAAGAAGGTAGATGAGAGAGGACAGAGAGAGAGGGAAATTGAGGCAGGAGAAGATACGGCCCCCCTGGAAGTCAAGGGACCATGACTCTGTCATCTACCTACCCCAAGCGTCCATCTCCCCTGATTCTATCACTTATCAGCACCCTGAACCGAACGGAATACACTGAAAAGAGGCACTGGGACTTTTGCTGAAATAACTTCATAAACATATGTTCCTATTGTGGCTGATTTCTCTGGCTTTATCTGCAAGTACCCCACGTGTGGGTTGATCCCATGACCTCTCCACCAGAAAAACAAAGAACATGACATTTTGAGAATTCGATTAAGAAAGCAGTGACACACTGCCAGCTTTCCTTTTCAACGTCACATCTTGTGGGGAAGAAGGGGCCACGACAGCCTCCCTCTCTCCCTCCTTCTCTTTTCCTTATTGTATTTTTTTTCTTTAAACAACCACGTGCTTTGGACTATACCTGTAGAGGGAGTGAGGAGCCCAACTCCGTACCTGGCGGAAAGATCATGTGACAGCCCCGCCCACACGCAGGAGTGAAGAAACTGGCAAATCTGCTCCCACCAAATATGTGAGTGGAGCCGAGTGTCAATTTCCCCCCACGAAGTGGGTGTGAGGCTTCTGTTTCTGCAGTGCACTTCAGGGACTAAGTGAGCTTTACATTTTTAAATATAACAACTTAGGTCTTCAACAGAAAGTGGGGAGGAGGTGTAAGAACTGGAGACAGAGAGGAAAAATACTTGCCAACTTGCAACTCTCTCTTTCCCGTTTATTATTACTTTAAATAAAAAGCATTGGTTGCCAATATGTCTTTCCTCCTCTTTCTCCACCTCTGCCCCAAGCTGGATAACTTTCTACCTGACATTCTAGGCCAGTTCCAGCCAGCCCACCAGGTGTACCCCACGTCATATCTTGAGGGGAAGAAGGGGCCACAACAGCCTCCCTCTTTCCC